TGATATTTTACTTGCAACCAATGATAGGGGTTTACTTTATGAAGTGAAACAATTCCTCTCCAAGAACTTTGATATGAAGGATATGGATGAAGCATCTTATGTCATTGGCATTAAGATCCATAGGGACAGATCTCGATGTATTTTGGGTTTGTCTCAAGAAACCTATATCAATAAAGTTTTAGAGAGATTTCATATGAAGAATTGTTCACCGAGTATAGCACCTATTGTGAAGGGTGATAGATTCGATTTGAGTCAATGCCCGAAAAATAATTTTGAACGGGAACACATGAAGAACATTCCATATGCTTCAGCTGTTGGAAGCCTTATGTATGCTCTGGTTTGTACCAGACCTGACATAGCATTTGTTGTTGGAATGTTGGGAAGATATCAGAGTAATCCAGGTATAGACCACTGGAAGGCTGCAAAGAAAGTAATGAGATATCTTCAAGGTACAAAGGACTACATGCTCATGTACAAACGAACTGATAATTTGGAGGTGATTGGCTACTCCGATTCAGACTACGCTGGCTGCATTGACTCAAGAAAATCAACATCTGGTTATATTTTCATGCTAGCTGGTGGAGCTGTATCTTGGAGAAGTGCTAAGCAGACCTTGACTGCTACTTCCACTATGGAAGCTGAGTTCGTATCCTGTTTTGAGGCTACCTCGCATGGTGTATGGTTGAAGAGTTTCATATCTGGGCTTAGAGTCGTGGACTCTATTTCAAGGCCATTAAAGTTGTACCGTGACAACTCAGCTGCAGTGTTTATGACTAAGAACAATAAGAGTGAAAGTCGAAGTAAACACATCGACATCAAATATTTAGCCATAAGAGAACGTGTTAAGGAAAAGAAAGTGGTCATTGAACACGTTAGCACTGAGTTGATGATTGCGGATCCTTTGACTAAAGGCATGCCACCAAAGAATTTTAAGGATCACGTAGTACGAATGGGACTTGGTTCCATAATGTGATTTACATTGTACGAATATTTATTGAAACTCTTAATTCAGTTGATGATTTCTCATATGGTCACATATTTGGAATAAACATATGGTTTATTCATTAAGTTGTATGGGATAGTGTTGAGAGACTTGATATAGTGTAATACATGGAAGATAATACTCACTATAAGAGGACCTATCGCCATGATTCATATATTTTGTTTCTCTATATGATATGTGTTGAACTATATGAACCAAGTGGGAGAATGTTGGGATTTTTTCTTTAAGATTCCCAAATTAGTTAATGATGGGAATTAAATTTTGTTTCTTTAGAATTCCCAAATTAATTAAAACTCCAAATTAATTTCAATACCCTTTGGAATTCCCAAATTAATTTCAATAACCGTTGGAATTCTTTGGTGTTTTTAAGAGAAATAATTTTCAGAATGTGGTTCATATAGTGTCTAAGTTCAACACATGAATTTAGTAACATTCCATAATGTGGTCACATCCATTGAACTCTGTGATGGGCAGAGTACTATAAATTAGAT